GGCTAGGGAAAATGAAGTTATTTTACCTTAAGAACCTGGGAAAGAGAAAGAATTTCCATTTCTAAGTAACAAAATATAAAATACCAGATAAGGGCTTGGTTGGCTTGCTTGAGACTGTGCACCCCTCCCTGAATCAATCACAGTGGGTAAAGAAACATAGCATACATCAACCTCTTAGAATATGTCTGTGGGATATATTCCCACAGATATGTTACCCAAAAACAGGGAAAGAGAGGAAATTCTGGGGAAGAAAGATGTACAACAGGAAGAAACAATAACTACCACAGACTAATAAGCTGACCCAGACTATATAAAGTCAGCTTCACATTTGGCACCGTCATTTTTGTCTACAGAAGTTTCTTCTGAAAATAGTAATGTTCTTAATATATCTTCAATTTTCATTTATAAATTTCACACATATTTATTAAGTACTTGCAATATGCCAAAGAATGAAGGGAAATTTTAGAAATCTAGTTTATCTAAAATACATGACGATGATGACTAAACTATCACACCAGCATATATCTGAAAGGAAGAAAATGATGAGCACATGATAAAAGCGAGAGCACATAAGGGAGGGGTGAGGATAGGTAAGACACCTAAAAAATTAGCTAGCATTTGTTGCCCTTAACGCAGAGAAACTAAAGCAGATACCTTAAAAGCAACTGAGGCCAATAGGAGAAGGGGACCAGGAACTAGAGAAAAGGTTAGATCAAAAAGAATTAACCTAGAAGGTAACACACACGCACAGGAAATTAATGTGAGTCAACTCCCTGTATAGCTATCCTTATCTCAACTAGCAAAAACCCTTGGTCCTTCCTATTATGGCTTATACTCTCTCTTCAACAAAATTAGAGGTAAGGGCAAAATAGTTTCTGCCGGGTAGTGAGGAGGTGGGGGGGAGAGAGAGGAGGTGGAGTGGGTGGTAAGGGAGGGGGTGGGGGCAGGGGGGAGAAATGACCCAAGCCTTGTATGCACATATGAATAATAAAACAATTTTTAAAAAATGAAAACATAGTGTGAGTACAGACCTTGGAGCCCAGACAAGACAGCACTGATGCCAATGCTGCCTGGAAGGACCCAGAGGATGGTCACGTGTGATTCCCTGACCGTGCTAGCTGACTAGGGTATATCAGTAATGTTCTCTTCCACACATTCAGAGGCAGTTTACTTGAGTATCTTCCTGGTTGACATAAAAGTATAACAGCCTTAAAATTATATTTGAAAATGTTTTTTAAACCATTGACAGCTAAAAATGAAATAAACTAGCATTTCCCTACATTGGGAAATAAAAGGAAACTTTTATTCCATACATTGGGGAATAAAAGGAAACTGTGATTTACTGAAGTTTTAATCACCTTTCAAACTTACCAAACTCAGCAGGTTCAAATGAAGTACTGAGGTGGGGATGAGTGAGTTAGAGTGTGAAATAGAGCACACAAGACAGAGAAACACAACACATACATTGAATCTTGTTGCACTGGAACAAATGTTTCCCACTTGACGTCATATGTATCTTTGAAGCTGGGTAGTACAATATTCTGTGTTAAATGCTTTTTATGGGGATTTGGAGAGAATTTAGGTAAAGGCTACCCCAATAAATGATTTACTGGCTCTAATAAAACATCAAGGAAATTGTTCAGATTGTATCTCAGACCATTTAAAACAGAAGTTTATAGAGGTCTGAGCAGCTCGCATATACTCAGTCCTGGTTCAAAAAGAAATGTGTACAGTGGTTAGTTATCCCATACTACCCTTTAAAAAAATAATAACAATTTCAAGAGGAGGAAGAGATTGGAACTAAACATGCTGGTATGACCGCCAAGGGGAGAGAAAGAGAGAGAGAGAGAACAGGAGAGAGAGAGAGAAGTCATCACTCATCATCTTTTTATGCATTGGTTCAATAAGTATTTACTGATCAAATTATGTACAAAGTACACTAGAATGGGTCTGAAGACCCATAAGTGCCCAGACAGAGGGGCTCAAACCTACAACTTCTGTGTAGTGAGAGGGAATAGAAATAAGAAAATAAATAAAATAAATGTAAAAGATTATTTTAAATTGTGCCAAATACTTTAAGGAAACAAACAAAATGATGAGAGAGTGAAAAACCAGGACTGAGGTGGGTCCTGTAGTTATGGAAGGCTTTTCTATGGGGGCAAAATTGACCCTGAGACCCGGAGTACAAAGGTCCTCATGTCACCCAGCACTCAGTGTATCTGAAAGCTATAGGAAGGCATATGTGGAAAGTGAGAAATAGTCTTAAAGTGACCTATTTCCTTGAGTTAGTCAGTTTTTAATTGCTGTGACAAAACACAAGAAATAAACATTTTAAAGGAAGAATCATTTATTGTGACTCAAAGTTTCAGTCTATGGTCACTTAGTCCTTTTGTTTTGAGCCTGTGGAATTCACACCCAAGATGATCATCTACAAAGCCTACATATTTTCATTCCTTTTAACTTGTGTGTTTTGTTCAATAAATGGTTGTTATGCACTGTACACAGAAATGAGCAAAAGCAAAATGTGCTAAATTATGTTTCCAAAGAATAGCCACACAGTACTTTCCATCTCCACCTGCTCTTTTGCAATGCTGCCTTCCCATTCCTGCATCCAGAAGTGGATTTTTCCTCTCCTGGCTGGCCCCATGTCTTATTTTGAACCATCAAATAGCTTTCCATGATGTGTCCTGCCTGAATCCACAGCCCTCAGAACTGTGAGCAGAGAAAATGATTGTTGTAAGACACTAATCTGTCAATGATTCAGCATGCAGCATTGATGACCAACGTGTATAAGAAGCCTAGTTAGTGAGAGAGACAGGTGTATAGATATCTTAAAATTAGCATTGTATCTCCATGTTCATTTACAATAGCCAAGATGGAATTAACCTAAATGTCCATCAATGAATGAATGAATGAAGAAATTATGGTAACAATACAAAATGAAATAATATTCTGCCATAAAAAGAAGGAAATCCGGTCAATTGAAATAACATGGATGAACTTAGAAGGCATTAAACCATGTAACAAAAGAAAAAACTACATGCCTTCACTTATAGGCAGAATGTGAATCAATTCAAATCAAAGAAGAAAAAAGTAGAATGGTGGTTACTATAGGCTAAAAAGGGAAGAGGTGGGAGTGGGAAAGATATTATTAAAAGATATAAAATTTCAGTTAGAAAGGGAAAATACAAAGAAGACTCTTATACAACACAGTGAGTACAACTAACAACCATAGATTGTATTCTTCAAAATTGCTCAGAATGTAATTTTTTGAGATCAGGTCTTACTATGTAGCCCAAGCTAGCCTCAAGCTCACTATGTGGCCTAGGCTGACCTCAAACTCACCATCTTCCTTCTTCAGCCTCCTGAGTGCTGGGTTTACAGATGTCTGCACCATACCAGGGTAAGAGTATAAATTTTAAGTGTTTTCACCACAAAAAATGACAAGTACATGAAGTATTGTATATATTGAACAATGTATACATACACATTACATATGTATATGTACGTTATATACCATAAAGCATATACATTTTACAAGTCAATTAAAAATAATAAAAATTTTAAATAATGTGAGTGGCCATAAGAGAAAGGCAAAGAAGCATCTAAGTCAGCATGGAGCAGGGCTAGGTGATTGCTTTGAACCTATGACTCTATTCTGCTATGATAGGGAAAAGCATCCAATGAGCAATGCCTGGGAGTTGCATCTTAAAGTTGCAGTTTGGAACTGAAGCTCCAAGATCTTTGTGAACACTCAACATTTTAACCCTACTTGTGGAATAAGAATGGCATTTTGATATTGTACACTCCGAACTCTCAAAGGTTCAGTTGAGTAATCAGATAAAGCCTGGAAAATTGGGCCAATCCAAGAGCTAAGCTGAGACTTAGTAGAGGGTTTTTTCTAGTCATGGTGAACTTCAAATAGGAGCCACAAACTTCACACAGAGCCCCACAGAAGCCCTGGCCTCTCTTCTATGCTCCAAAGCATGTACCAAAGTCTCTGCTTTGGCAATTATTTTACAGAATTAAATCTAGTCTGTTTATCACCCTCCACTTTGAAACTACCACAAACTGGGCTTCTGAAGAACAGCGGAAGTATATTTTTAGTGTTTGCAAATAGCATCTCTTGTGCATTTTTTGTCTTTAGAAGAGGTATGCATGTTCCTTGAGGCTTCTAAATGTAAGTGGTTAGAAACTGTGACTGCAAAGAGGAGATCTGAGAAGATCCCATGACCTCCAGACAGTAAATTCAGCATGGAGTGAGTGAAAACTTCTAGAACCAAGTCAGGAAAGATAAATTGCTCAGTGGGAAAGGCATTCGGGGAATAGGCCAGGGGTGAACAGAGAAACAGTGGGTGGGAACAGATGACTTTGCCAGGATAATCTGTTTTTTCTCCTTCCAAGCTTACTCCCTTTGTCACACTGTCATTGTTCCTCCTTTGTGAATACCCCTTGTGAAATCCTTTACTCATTACCATGGTGAGGCTCCATTCCTCACTTCTTTATACCCTATTTCAGGTTTGCTATATGTGTATGTGCATAAATAGATACACCCATGTACCTACCACAGGTAGAGAGAACAATAACTACGATCTGCATTGATCTCTTAAGTTAACTAAGATTTCCAGCATGTATCTAACCCCACTCACTGCCCCCCCCATTTCATCTCTAGAATCCACTCATACCATATTGTCACCATTTCTCAAACTGCACTCTTGGCTCAAATTTTTTCAGAGAACCTTTCCTCATTCTCTAGTAAATTTGACCGTTGTCTTCTCCACATGTGCATGTCATACTTTGTGCAATTAAAAACATTCTGTTATGACTTCATATTACACATCTATATCCCTCTTTGGACTATGAACATCTCCAAGTCAGGGTGCATATTTTATAGCCCACAATCAATATTTGCTAAATAAATACTAATAGGAGAGAATGAATAAAAACTTATCATATTCAATTAATTTAAATTTAAAAATAAAAAGAATATAATCCCTCACCAAACAGAAAGCTGATGTTTCTCCAGTTCTTCCAAGTAAGATGTATCCTGTGAACGATCTTCATGTTCTTCAGCTCTCCAAGCGCTTGATTTTTCCTTCACAGAATGATTGCTCAGCCTATCTCCCTTGTCAGAGAAATTGGTAAATGAAAAAAATGAAATGATTTATTAACAGCAGGTAAAAAGTTCACCTGAATTCAGGGATATTTCTCCCAAATTGGCTTATGGAATCATTGATCATAAAGCAATATCATTAGTCACAGTCTCCAATTGAAATTATGGCTCTATACTCCAGTTTCACTAAATTCTTATCTCCGTAATGGCAGAGACTATGCACATTCATTTTGTATTATCTCATAGGGAATGACTTTGTAAATGTGGTTCAATCAAAAAGACAAACAGAAGGGGAACAGGTACTAGAGAAAAGGTTAGATCAAAAAGAATTAACCTAGAAGGTAACACCCACGCACAGGAAATCAATGTGAGTCAATGCCCTGTATGGCTATCCTTATCTCAACCAGCAAAAACCCTTGTTCCTTCCTATTATTGCTTATACTCTCTCTACAACAAAATTAGAGATAAGGGCAAAATAGTTTCTGCTGGGTATTGAGTGGGGGGAGAGGGAGGGGGCAGAGTGGGTGGTAAGGGAGGGGGTGGGGGCAGGGGGGAGAAATGAACCAAGCCTTGTATGCACATATGAATAATAAAAGAAAAATGGAAAAAAAAAGACAAACAGAGCCATGAAGTTGGCATTGTATTTCATCAAAATTTTAGTTGCAAGTAAAAGAAATGTAGCTCGTCTTAGCTCTTAGCAAAAGGAGTTGGAAGGAAAATACGAGTAACCTGTCCAGGGAGAAGGAAGGGAGGCAGCTGGATTTCAGGAACCAAGGATTTGAATAGTACCTGGGATTCTGACACCTCTGTTCTCTGCGTCACCAGATCACTGCATGCTAGCTCTGTCACCAAATAGGTACTAAGTACCACAGCCTGTAAGTGACTCTCAGCAGCATAAATTTAACTTCAGGACTTACACAATCTCTGTGGAGCTAGTTTACTAGAACTGGAGAGACCATGTGACCTGTGATGATGGGTCCAGAGAACTATGGTTCAACCAAGTCCTTTAGGAGCCCTGGATGGTAGGGATTGAGACAGAGAACAGCTAACCCAGCAGGGTTTCCTCTTCCTCTTCCACCAAAACAGCACACCTTTTACCTGTTTGATAAGTGGGAGACGTCTGGAAAATTTTACTACAAAATACCAGTGTGAAAATGAAAATTGGAAACCATTAGACTAAAAAAGCAGAAAATTAGGCATGGCTTGCATTTATTTACAATGCAGTGATGTTAAAACTCTTCCTTTCACTTTACATGCTTTTAATTACATTTGTAAGAGGCCAGTTATGTGAAATTCCTTGATATCATACAAGTTTTAGCACAAGTCTACCGTTGGAATATTTTGCAATTGCTAAGTGTTGCTTTGGCTTTGCAAGTTATAATAACCAGGAACATCTTAGAGAGAAACCCAGAAGGAGTAGATGTGTCATCAAATCCCTAGTGAACGCAACAAGGCTCATTTCTTTCATTATGGAGCTGATTGATTTGATTACCTTAAGAACAAAATCCAGTTATGACAGCCATGAATTTGAAGTACCTTTCATTGCGGTTCGTTTTATCTTTCTTAGCCTGTTACAACACTCACTGAAAGTGGTTTTGATCAGACTATGCCACATTGATATTCTTAATCACTCCATTCCTAAGTAAATTTAAGGGTGCCAAAGTTCTTGAAAAAAATACAAGAGCTCTGAATTTTTCCATATGTTTTTGAGTCATTTAAATTACAATTTGATGCCATTTCTTCATGAGTTGCTTACATTATTTCATTTCATCTGATAGAAAGTTGAAATGGCTACCAAGAATTACTCCATAGATTTGGCTCACCCTGCAAAGCTACTCATCTGTTACACTATAGTAGTTTTATGATAGAATGCATGGCACAGCTCTCTATTTGGTTGGTATATGAATACCTATCATGTTTCTTCAACTGAATTCGTGGTAGAATGGGATGAGTATATTTCTTTGTGTCCTTTACAGCACCCAACATGGTAATAAGCACATACTAGATGCTCAGGAAATAGCTATCAGAGGTCATTTCACTAAGTATTTACATTATAACAAACAACAATGGACTTTGCCTCCAAGTGCTAAAGCATAAAGAAAAATATCTATGAATTCTAAAACAAAAATTTCCTGAATCTTTGTATTTCTTTTTGAAAATATCTAATTAATGTACTAAAAGTTTCTTCAAATGAGTTTTTTGGAAAACCTAACTCATCTCCAAAGAAATGGGACCTAAAAGGGAACAAAATTACAAAGAAATAGAGTTTTGTTTCTAAAAAGGAGGTAAATATGTGCAGAGAAATTCCCACATGAGTACCAGGGTATGTGAACTCCACACATAACACTTGAACAATCAAAGCAGTCTTGTAGGCACAAATTTATATCTTGACTCTATGTCTGAAAAATAAAGCTCTAACTTTAATATCATTAACATTTAGTAGTCAAAGTATAGACCCTCTGGCCCATTACAATTATAAGTCCTGTCTGTACCTTGAAATCAAAGATCATTATCATGAGAGACATAGAGACAGAGAATGACAGTGAGAGGGAGATCCAACAGCAATGTTTTCAGAAAGAGAAATATCTACCCTTTTTAAAGAAAAATTGGTATGCAAATTTGTTCTGGAACATCAAATTTAATATATTATGAATATGGCTACCCAGAGCCCAGCCCACTACAGAAATCAAGAGTAAACATTTAACAATAAATTTCTAAGATTCAGAATGTGATTTTCCAGTTCATGGACTGAATAGCTGGTCTGTGAAGATGGCTGTTCAAATACCGCCCTGGTTAGGAAACAATGAGTTACCACTCTTCCACACACAGCACAAACTGAGGGGCATGACATGTCATAAGGAATTTTGAAACCTAAAGTGAATTGTGCTATGGTGAAAAAGATAAGCAAGTGACAGTCAGAAGACACACATTCAAACTTCTCACTGTTTAGTGAACTTAAATGGGTAAGGTACATAAATCAAAGGGTTTTAATCTGAAAAATAGACATAATATCTGTAATCCACAGATCACAGAATTTTTATGAAAACAAACTCAGATTTATATACTTATATATATTTATATGTATAATTTTATATGCAATTAATATGTTGTATATAAATAAAAATCGTGTAATAAATATACAATTCTACGTAAATATAAATGCACAGTAATTTTGTTATGTTTTTATAATATTATAATTCATATCTGTACATAATTCTTCTTGGGTGCTAGGGGAAATAGCACTTAAAATGCTTTAGAATATGAAGAATATAATCAGTATCTGACACAGCAGCAGAAGTGATCGATTGGATTTTTAACACCCTTTCTTCCGTACTTATTACAGCATTTCTCTGAAGCCACTGCGTAGAAAATGTTACAGGAACTAAGTCTCAAAGCCGTCTGAGCTCACTCCATGTAAATCTCTGGTTCCCTGTATTGTTGTTCAGATTTTTGGTTCCCGTCTATAATCCCTTACCTGGACCCAGGGGCTCACGTAGAAGGGTAAGAATGGTGGGATCGGTGATGGGCAAGTCTGTGTGTGGAGAGGGAGCTGGGCTCACATGCCAGGGACACCAGCACCGTGGAAAACCCTTAAAACATCAGAACAGTTAAGCTACACTCAGCAGCAGCATTGCGTCCTCAAAACTCTTGCAGGGTCTTTGTGCAGATTTCTGGGAAGACGTATTCACCTGTCCATCTGGCCAGATGAAGAGCCAGGGAATTGTTTTCATCAAAAGAGAGAGCCTTAGAAAGAGGAAGTAGTGAATAAAGGGCAGAATCCTGAGGATTACAGTCCTTTTGAACTGTCCTGGGAAGATGAGAAGGGAGGCCTCGAGAGCTTACTGCTGGCCCAAGGATGCTCACCATGTATTAAGACGGCAAGAGAGGAAGATTGTAGTGTAGACACTCTGCTAAGAGACTCGTGTTAATAAGATCACAGACTTGTAAGTTACAGATAACAACAACAAATACCAGGTGCACATGAAGTATCAAAGCAAGTGAACATGACATCATATTCTTTCCATCACTCCAGTTATTATTATCTTACAAAAAAATCTCAGCTCCAAATTCAACCAGCCTAAATCCTAAGACCCTCTAGCAGGGATAATTGCTTCCCTTTTATAAATTCATGTATGGGGCTGGGTGTAGTGGTTCACACTTGTAATCCCAGCTATTCAAAGGCAGAGGTAGAAGGATCTTAGTTTGAGGGTGAACATGAGGAGAAAGTCCAAGACCCTATCTGAAAAATAAGAGTTGAGGGTTTGGCTCAAATGGTAGAGTGCTTACCTAGCAAGTGCAAGGCTCTGAGTTTAAACCCCAGAACCAATAACAAAATCTTGTCTTTTATGTTTACCAGAGAATTTTATAGGACACACTTTCCCTTAACCATGTTCAGAAGAGGCAAGTTATACTTGGCTGCATAGTGTAGGATTTACCTCGAGATACTCCCTCAACTTACTGACCCCTTGAGCTTCTGTTTGTGTCCACTGGAGAACAACTAGCATCCCTGGCTACTTGGAACCACAAATTCACATTTGCATTAGAACAACTCATGTCCCACCTTTAAAGTTCTACATGGGGGAGGGTGGAATGGCTCAAGTGGTAGAGTGCTTGCCTAGCAAGCATGAGGCCCGGAGTTCAAATCCCAGACCACCAAAAAAACTGATAATTATAATAATAATTGTTATAATTATAATTATTATTATTAAGTTCTAAGTGAATCTCATTTTCCTATATCCACTCAATAAATTGCCTAGGTTACAGTCTTTAATACCAATTGAAGATATAGATTAATAATTGATACCATGAGAATATGAGGGAAAATGCTTAAAATCAGAGTAGAGTATCAGATTGTGTTTGCTATGAAGAGGATGGGGTACCCATCCTTATCCATGACACTCAGTGACTTCTGACTTGAGTGTGTTTTGAGTTCTGACTTCCAACAGCATTGACATTACTGAGAAAATTCCAACACACTCTTACTGTTTGTGGAAGTGATTCAGAGTTAAGAA